TGTTATAAGGGTTCAGCAAGTTAATCCACATAAAGAATTTAGAACAGTGCCAGGCACACTGTCTGGCAGGCAGTGTTAAGTTATTTTCACTTGAAAGTACAGGCTTGATCTCCACTAAGGTCAATAATCCATTTTAGAACTCCAATCTTCTGCATTCTACCTGAAGGGGGTCTACCTTTCACAACATCTCTTTTTCACATATAAGCCAGCTCTGGTTAGGAATATTTGTAAAATTGTACTGTATAGTTTGTAAAATTGTGCAGTAAATTCTGACTTAACTTACTAACAACTAAAAGTTTCATTATCCTCTTTTATGATTTCATCAATGTGGATTTTAATTTAGTACAAAGTAAATGTTCAATAAATATTGCTCAAATACACCTATTTAGGCTATCTTTTACATGTTACATCTATAGGGTCAAAGAAAGATGAAAATCAAATTTGTTTACTAAATATATGCTTAGTCATTATAGTAATCTTTTTTTTTTTTTTTTTTTTTTTTTTTTTAAATTTGACAGAGAGAGACACACACAAGTAGGCAGAGAGACAGACGGGGTGGGGAAGAGGCAGGCTTCCGGCCAATCAGAGCGCCCAATGTGGGACTCGATCCCAGGACCCTGCGACCATGACCTGAGCCGAAGACAGAGGCTTAACCCACTGAGCCACCCAGGCACCCTTCACTATAGTAATCTATCTGTTCTCTACACTCACACCAAAATGATGCTGGTCAAGGTAACCCAGGGTTGTTTTTCCTCCCTGCCCTATAGGATTAACTCTTATTTGGTGCTTTGTTGGGGTGATATTTTTTCTTCATACTCTATATACTTCAAAAAATTATTTAAAGCAGTTTACCATTAAAGACACATATACAATAAGGATAATAAAAATGGGAAGAATTATATGGAAAATCTTAGTCTTCACAGTTAAACACAGTCCCGGAGTTTCTTAACAATTAAAGCAGGAAAAAAAGCACATTGTAATTCCTATTGCCTCATTCATCTCAACAGGAAGAATTTCCAAGGTAATAAATTCAAAGAGGCATCTATATGATGTTTCTTTAACCTAAGAATATGGATGAACTAGATGAACATAATAAAGATATCCCCAACAATGTTTTTATGGAGGATGCAGAAAACTATTAATGGTAACTTATGTTTACTATGTACTGTATTTACTATATATATGCTAAAATAATCTTCTATAAATACCATGGATATAATTATAAAACCTTTTAGCAGAGCTGAGTCTAGAATATTAATTTTCTAATATCAAATTCAGAAAATTTTATGGGTTTTTCCCACTACATTATCCTAGACTACCATATATGGAAGAGAATCTGACCTAGGAATCACACATGTTTACAAACATATATGTAAAGCTCCCATAATATACACACCATGTTTATGCGCACGCGCACACACACACACACGCAAACATTGGCCAGTACCAATAATCCTACTGAAATAAGAGATGAATAAATAAATGAGTAAATAATTTACTTTCAGTAAATAAAAGTGATTCCATAAATTAAATACACACAGCATCTGTCAAACTGATGATTTACTGCATTTTGTGCTGGTCATTCTTCTGTATTTCTCATGGACCATCAGGTCATAATTTTTTGTTTTATGATCTCTCCTCCAATCGCTATGCATCAATCAAAGCTCAGAGTATAAAAATAAATTAATTAAATTGAGTCTATAATAAAAACAAATCTGGGATTTGAATTTAACACCAGACATCAAAAATCTTTATCAATTCACACTTCCAGTTATAAAATAAATAAGTCATGGGGATGTAATGTACAGTATGGTGACCATAGTTAATAAAACTGTAATACATATTTGCTAAGAGAATAGATCTTAGAAGGTTTCATCACAGGAAAAAAAATTTTTTTCAAGGGGTGCCTTGGGGGCTCAGTCAGTTGGGCATCTGCCTTTGGCTCAGGTTATGATCCCAGGGTCCTGGGGTTGAGCTCCACAACGAGTTTTCTACTCAGTGGAGAGCCTGCTTCTCCCTCTCTCTCTGCTGTTCCCCCTGCTTGTGTGCTTGCTTTCTCTCTCTCTCTCTGTCAAATAAATGAATAAAATCTTTAAAAAAAAAAAACTTCTTTCAAGATTTTATTTATTTAGTTTAGAGAAAGAGAGAGCATGCGTATGTGCACGAGTCGGGGGAGGGGTAGAGGGAGAGGAAGAGAGAGAATCCTAAGCAGACTTCATGCTGAGCATGGAGCTGGGTGCAGAGCTGGATCCCACAACCAGGAAATCATGACCTGACCTAAAACAGAGAGTCAGACATCTAAGCAACCAGGCCACCTGAGTGTACCAAGAAGGAAGATTTTTTTTGTAACTATGTAAAGTGATGGACATTATAGGCTTACCGTAGTAATTGTTTTGCAATATAAATATCAAGCCACTACACCATATACCTGAGCTAATATAATGTTATATGCCAATCACCTCAATCAAAAAGTCTGTATCAATGTTCCAAAACATACAATTCATTCCTTTCCTCCTTTTACAAACACACTCAGCTCTAAATGCTCATAATTTTACTAGGTACATTAAAACCTGGATGAAACCCAACAGGCCTCCTGGTGTAGTAATACCAACAGCTTCCAGCCCAGCAGAGAGAACACCAACAAATATACTACCACACTTACAAGCCCAGGAAACCAACAACCTGGCTTTTTTTTCTTTTTCTTTTAGTTAACTGGTAAACCTGAATGAATACACTCATAGGCTAGATTGCTTTATGTATATATTATATCTTTAAAAATACACAAATTTGGATGAAGCAAGTCATTCTCTTACTGCAAATCAACTACTGAAAATGTATAGAAATAGAGGATTATAACCCAGTGATCCATTCAGCAATTCCCCCAATTGTGAACCTTATGATACTCCCTTCCCTAGCTTTGGGCCAGTCAAAAAGTTTAAATTAAAGCACGGTCTCCAGAGAAGCAACCACACTATCGCCTGCTGTGAACTTGTGAGAAATGTATATTCTTGAGCTCCAACTAGACCTCCAGAATGAAATTTCTGGGGGTAGGGTCCAGGGTCATGTTTTGACACATCCTTGAGGTGACCCTGATGCTCACTACAATTGGAGAACTGATCTGAAATGAACAGCTCTTCAAGATCTTTTCTTCTTTGCTGCCTCAGTTCATTCCTAACTTACATCCTCATACTCTTCATTACTCTTAACTAATTAGTGAGGATCCTGCTGGTGATCCTAAATCTGCTCACTGGAAATAGCCCTCAAGCACGGTCTATGTTATGAGGAGGCTTCGTTAGTCACCACTGTAATGCCTCAACAGAGAAACATCTCTGGATGCTCGGCCCTTCCCCAACCCTGACTGCTCGATGCTCAGTTGTAGCTGCGATGCACTGCGGGGATAAGCAGCTTTTCAGAGGATCCATCCAACTGGCAATCAACGCTGCTTAACTCATTGCCTGCAGTTACTCTCCACAAACCGTGTGTGTGTGTGTGTGTGTGTGTGTGTGTGTGTGCGCGCGCGCGCGTGTGTGTGCGTGTGTCCACCACCCTCAGGTTGCCTGGCCTTCTCAGCCCCTCTGCCAACTTGCCGTGTGGATCCACTACTCATGGCTGCCCTCTGTGGGTGTTCGGGACCTTGCTTGATCCAGGGTGGTAGCCTACGACACTACATGATCTCGGGTCCACTTCCACAGTGGATGCCTGTCTCATAAGGAAGCCTGGGGCTGAAAGCGTGAATGAATTCCTTAGGAGGAGCAGGGTCTGGGACTCCAAAGGGTAAGCAAGTGATGGCCCACACCCAACACGCACAGGTGAATCAGATACAGAACTAGAGAGGAGCTTTTTTCTTAACAACCACTGGCATTGGAGGGAAATGAGGCCAGGTATCCGGAAAACTGTCTCACGTTCTTCTCAGTACCCAGCACCAACTCCCACTTGGTAGGCTGCTTCTCGGTCTCTAGAAGTCATACTGCTGTATTTGGGCGTGTCCAAAGAGAATGAGCTAGGTAAAGCAGAAACCCTCCTGTCAATATGCACTTAGTTCATTACAATACAGATATGTGTAAATGCAAATTATTGATTAAATTCCAATAAATCGAGGACAATTTACTGTATTTGTAATATGTCACTAATTTCAAGAGAAAAATGTCTGGATTATTTCTCTTGTATTTCACAATCTTTAATAATTTTTCATCTTTCCTTTTTGTATTACTAAAACGCTCAGTTAATAAGCCTGCTTGTTTGTCAATCTGCACGGCACTGCTGTAAGACTTAGAGGACATCTGCACCTCTTCTATAGTTTTCTTATCAAAAAATGGAGTGACGTTTCCAAAAATGTTCTTAAAAGGGTCTGGCGGATGAAGCTGTTCCCAGTTACCGCCCCTCCAGTAAAGAATGACTCTGCCACTCTGAAAATGGCCTGGCACGTGACGCTGCCATGGAAAAGCCGTAGAGAAACAGTGAGTGCAGCGACTGAGGAGGCTCCCCGACCTGATTCATACCAGCTGTAATCTGCTGCCTTCCCTAAAACCAGAAACATAGTTAATGACTCTGCATGGCCAGATTCTACGACCCCACAGACACTCCCCTGAGGTCTCATTCCCTAGTGGGAAGGGTCCTGAGCTAACACTACTGTTATTTTGAATTAGTGCTGGCATAGAGGATCACAGCCAACTGTTCTCCTCCACCTTGAGTTAGAACAGGTAAAAGTGAGAGGAAGAGCTAAGGTCACTATCTTTCTTTAAACTTTTGCAGAAATAGCAAGGCCAGTTCCCAACTACTCAATAAACAGATTTTAGTTCTTAACACACAATAAGAGAAAAGCTCATCTCAGAACAAGCTGTCCTTTCCCTAAACAAGAAAAATAGCTAGCATCAGCATTAAGTGCTTCTTGTTTAAGGCAGCTCCTCTGAGCAAAGAAAATGTTTTATTCCTCTCTCTTAGAAAGAATTTTATCTTATTGCTTGCTCACACAAATCTCTCACAGGGAGTTTGCTGTTTACCTCCTTCAGATCCTGCACGACGGCTGTGAGTCTCTCGTTTTCTGCCTGAATGTTGGTGACCACGGCCCGGCTCTGTTTCAGTTCGTTCTGCATCTCCAAGATCTTCCCCAGATAGTAAGCTTCCTTCGATGCAGACTCCTGCAGAAGCGTTTCTTCCCGAGTCTCCCCATCCTCAGCAACCTTCCGGTGGATGGAGAAGGATTGCCCAAAGGCCTGCAGAGTATTTGGGGAAAAGAAAAAAAAAAAAGTGTCCGATGAAATGCACCATAGCACTATTTAAATAGACTCAGGGAAACGTTTTCTTTTGTATTTTAGAGAAGCAAAACAACACATTTTATACAACAATCTAACTGTTCTCACTGATACCTGAAATCATTCAAATTGAATTAATAAGGGGAGAGAGAATTTTTAAGTATCTTGCTAGAGACATATATAATGAGTTAAGGAAAACCTGAAAAACACTGTTTTATTGCTATTTTTTTTTAAACAAATCCTATTAAGGAAAAGACTGTTCAGTGCTAATGAGGTCATCAAAATTCACACTCTCACTTTCATTCTAGAAAAAAAATCCCAAAAACATTTTTCAAGGAAGAAAATAATGGTTTTATTAGCTTTCTGATACATTAGTGGTAAGACTACACCAATTATGAACAGCACCCTGAAGACAGAAAACCCCTAAATGGCATTTACTGCCCAGTACTACCACTACAAAACAAAAACAAAAACAAAATCAAAAAATTGAAATGTAGTCACTGTATAAGAAAATGTGTATGTATCTATATATTTGTATTAAAAAAATAAAGAATAAACTAGAAACTAATGAAATCGGTAAGCCACAGGGGATGAGTGGGAATGACGGGGAGGGGTGGGGTGGAATTCCAAAACAAGGGATGAGGGAAACTTTCAGGAGCCTTTTCATACAGTCCTGACTCTCAGAGCTATAGTAATGTTTCACAGACCGTCCAAATAAATAATAAGTAAAACCAGTCTCTGGGTGTCAGGGGACCCCATGTGGAACACAAACAGTAACAAATGTTCCTAATTGTACTACAAAGGAACAACTTAACCACACTGAAAGGTTTGGAGAAGAAAAGATCTGGCTTGAGTAATTTGGGAAATAGGTATTTTTTGCTATATGCTGAAGACCAAAAAAACTGTACCCAACTCCTATAGTGGAGTTAATAAATTCTCACACAGATCACAATTCTAAAAACTTCTTTATATTTATACTAGGGTTGAACAAATAAGTAACTATATTATCAATCATGAATGCCAGGTCTCTCACTTTTGGAGAAAGTTACAAGTAAGGAAAGGGAGAATTCTAAAAGGAAACTAGTGGTACTGAGCTGTAATTAGAAGCATCAGGATGAACTTACAGTCTCTAGTGGGTAGATAAATATTCATAGATAGGCAGATGGGTAGAGACATTTCCCTATGTGCATATCTTTGCGCTCAATTCCCACTGACAGGCCCAGAAGCAAGAACATCTCAGCAGCAATGCATACCTACACCCAGGTTTTGTTTCTAAATAGCAATCTCCAGTTAAAAGAACTAGGATTCTTTGGAGAAATGGTCTGTTCTTGAGCTAGAGCAAAATGAATTTCATACATCTTGTGATGCCAAAGAGTAAATAACAAAATGTTTTAAAAAAATAACAGGGATCTATAAAAAAATAATAAAAAAAAAAAAATAACAGGGATCTGTTAAAGGACACAAGAGCCTATCAGAAGGGTCTTATCCCAATGGCCAAATCTGGGATAATTTGGACAATAAAATAAATAATTGTAGTAATGAATTATAATCAATAGAATAATATAGTCATCAGCCCACATTGATACAATAACTGAATAAATGAGGGAAGGAATAGCTCTTCCTTATAGTAAAATTCTAATTAATAAGTGTAGTAGGAATGATGGAGATAAAATATATCAGAATTTGGCAAACACTGAGTAATAATTGTTGCAGATAAAAATTATCAATGCAATATTAAATTAATAAGCCAAAAGTATGATGAGAAATGGGATATTTACATAGTTCTAATACTTATTAGGAGGAGACACCATGATTTAATGATTTCAAAGACTCTTCTCCAAATTTCACTCATAGAACAGAAATTTAGAAAAATAATAACCCGTAAACCTGTGTCTCAATAAACTATCTTTAGACTCTCTATATGGATCAAAATAAAAAAATGTTTCCTAAAGCATCAACTGAGAAAGAAACATTCCCATATAGATGGACAGATGGATGTTCATCTGTACAGAGTAGAACACTCTTGGCATTTGGCTTGTTAAGTCTCTGAACAGAAAGAAATTCCTATTTCAGTAGCCAAAATTTCTATACATAGTAATAAGCATATAGACTCATGAACAGATGAAAAATCATCTTCAGCGGTGATGTTTACTTTGCTTTCCCATCAGTAATGGTCAGATTCTTTGAGGTCAATTCTGAATTCGTTACCTATTAGAAAGCCTTTGGAGGGGAGAGTTTCACAATAACCTGGTGAAGTTTTCACCAGACCTCACCTAGCAAACGAATCCTGACTATACAGTTAAGCATTAATAAAATTTACAATTAGCATGAACCGTGCATCAAGCACCTCAGCTAGCTTCCTTTTTACAACATAATTTTCCATTTCTTTGTAACAGAAAACTGCCACAGGGCCATTTTCTTTACTCTGCCTAAGTAAAATCACACACGTAGGCACTCAGAATATGGCTCTCATCTTATTCTCAGCGCGTAGGCAATGGTCTCTCGGTAGCTAAAACAACCTCTAAAGTCTTAACAGCAAGTGAATTTGCCTTTCCGCCCCGACATAAAGTTTTATAAATTGTACTCTGGATCCAGCACCAAAGGAAATAAAAATTTCCAGATAATATATGGAATAGGTTTTCAGAAAAGAATCAAGAACTGAAATTGCAAATATAAACATTTTGATGACTCTTTCTATTTACTGCAGCTCAGAAACCTTAACTGAACATATGGGTTTCCAAAGTTAGTCATTATTTTTATGAGGAATCTGGCCCTTCATTGGACCTGATTTGAAAACCAATGAAAGCATGCAAGGTTATCCAAGGACATTAACCATGGTGTTTTCCATGTATAATATAAAAATAATACCAATGCTCACAGCCTACAGATGCCCCACGATGTGCATTTGCAAATCCAGTGGGTACTAACACTACTCAGAAAAAATCTGCATTTTAGAAAGGGAAAGTAAAGGAGAAAACACTCCTATTCTGCCTAATTCCTAATTGTCAGTAAGTGGAATGGGACATGACGCCAACTGACATCTGCCGTTTGGCTAATTGTTAAAGTGGATTGACCAGGACCTGTCTGGCTCTGCCGGGTAGCTTCTTCCTCCATCACTATTTAAGAATGTCCTGACAAAGCTGGACCTAAGAGAAGACAAACAACGTTCATCAAGGCCACTGAAGCTGTATCCTTGGCAGAAATCACAAAACTAGCTTCAATGTCTATTTATAGGCAAACCCAGGGTAGTCATATTCCTACTTATATTTCATTCAGGCAGCAAATTCCTTTTAGGTACTGCAATAATTACATGGATGATTTTCATTTGAAATCAATTCCAGTAAACTGACGTTTCTACACAATTTTGGAATATATTATGATTTAATTGCACAATATCACCTTCATATAGTCCACTGCAATGTATCGTAGTGCTTTCAATTACCTACCAATGTAAGTCCAATTAGCTATATAATAAGTTCTTTCCTTTCTCATTCTACTCACATGACTTCTTAATCCAAAGAAAACTGATATTTTTCACCTTCATGTTCAGGACAATATATTAGCTGTTAAATGGAATTTTCATACTTCTTATCCTTCTTACTATGAATGATTAAAGAAATAAAAGTTTGGCTAGTATATTTAATAACATCACATTATCTTAAAAATATGTGTCCTTGGTTACAGAATTTTCATTCTTTCATCTTAAAAAACTGTAGCAGAACAGTGTACTAAGTCACCTAAGGACATTAGACAAAATACTTTTTATTTGAAATACTAAAATTTTTTGTTTGTTCATTCACATAATAAGTATTTACAGAGAACTGTAATAGGTGCTGCTTAAGACACTGAAGATCTGCTATGTTCTAGCAAAAAGATCTCTTGCTTGTGGGAGCATACATTCCAGTGGAACATAAACAAAGCAATGATCATGTAGCATAATGTAGCAGAAGTTCTAGAAAGAAAATGAAAGCCAGGGTAAAAGCATAGAACAGCACTGCCTAACAGGACTTCTCTCAAAGATGGATCTGTGTTGTCCACTAACCACTAACCACAGGTGACTAGTGAGCTCTTAAATGGTGGCTAGTGTGACCAAAGAATTGAATTTTTTAATTTTATGTAATTTCATGAATTTTAATTGTCACCTTTGGCTAGTGGTTACCATGTTGGACAGTGCAGGGATAGAGAGTAAGGCAGGTGCTGAGACAGGAAACCCTATTTAGACAGGACCTTCAGGGAAGGGGGTAACCTTTGAGCAGACCTGAACAAAGGAAGGAGTGAGCCAGAAGCTGGCCTTTCCCCACAGCAGCAAGCCTAAAATTAAGTGTTACTAAGCAAGAATTACTGCACTGCCATGGCACCACTTTAAAGACCATTGGTGGCATGGCATGGTGGCATCTCCTTTAAGTCTCTGCCAGAGCACTTAAAAACCTGAGTGAGCCAGGGATGACTGAGACATGATTTAACTTGAAAGAAGAAAAGCGCTGACAACTACTATGTCACTGTAACCCAACCTCTACAAACCCTACCTTCTTTGAACATACAATAAAAAATATTTGACCAGTTATAGGTCTCTGTTGCCTCAGATGGCCAGGAAATTCAGCATTAAATGCTCTACAGCAATTAGCTAAATTATCTCAAGTTTCTGGTGTAACTCTCCAGAATATACAGTTTTCTCTATACTGTTTTGAGTTTCTGTTGTATTAACCCTCATGGTATTGGTTTCCTTTATTCTTATGTACTTCAAATACTTTTGGAGTAGAAAGGATATGAATTATAATCTCACCAACTGGTTTAAATAATGTTGAGTTACTTTTTTTTTTTTTTTTTAATTTAAGCCTTAAAGAAAGTCCATGTTAAAGAATGGAGTTTGAAAGTTTAAGAGGACTGAGAGTTCTATTAAGGAGTCATTCTCATTCTGTGGAAAATAATGGGTCCAAAGAATTTCATAAAGTGTGCACATG